ACAAGCCAGTAATAGAGACATTATCAACAATGAGGAACTTTAAGGTTTGACTTGTCTTTGAGTGATTGATCAACAACAATTCCTCCAAGCTCAAGTGTTTTTCTATTCAACGGTCTGGGATATGAAAGGTACGGATGAGCGTTTGTGAAAACGTAGGAAACGTCCGCCATATATTCCTGTAGATAAGTCAGTTGTCCCGCCTAGAGTTAAATCCAACCCGATAGCTTCTGAAGTCTTTTCCGAAAGCTTCTTCGATAACATCAGTTTCTTTGCTCCAACCATCGTGAAAATGAGATCGTGAAACTATGACACTCAAAGTATTTTTGATTCTTTCGAAGAAGCTCATATTGCTTTTTGAAACAGATACTGAGCCGGGTACAAAGCTCGGCAATACTGGTTCGCCTGAAAAACACTTTTGTTGATTTCTTGACTGAGAATAAGTTCAAACCAATTATATCGGAAACTATTTCAAATTGAATGCTCGATATGGCTGCAATTGTTACTGGAATTTTCAAATGTTCCGCCAAAGCTATGAAAGAGGAAGTTCATTTTTCGTTTGAAACAGTCTTTTACCAAACGGGCACAACAGGAAAGGCTCAGCAATTAGAATATCAAACTTCTCGCTAGCCATGTCATCCAAAAATTTCTTATCATTTACCAAATCTATAATAAGCTTCGTTAGCTGTTCAGGTGGAAGGGTTTATACGCTTGCAGGTTAATACGGAAGCCTTGGTAACATTTCCAAAAATCTTAATTTTTCATTGAAAAGGAATTGAGTGCAGATAGGGATACTACCTTCATGAGCGTGAACGGATTATTTGTCGTTGCCCACAGGGAGTTAAATAGATGTTCATGACCAGCTGCCATGATCTCTTCAACTTCTTTGCTGGCTGGAATGATTCGAACATCTTTAGTGGTTTTCACGCATGTCTTCTTCAAATTCGGATCCATAACAGGCAGTACATAGGTCTGAGTAGAAGAAAATTATTTGTTGAAGATACAGCGATTAGC